TTACCATTTTAAGCTTGGCTTCTTGGTTTATAGAGATTCCATTCTCTATTGAGGTAGGGGGTGATTTGTACTTATGATATTGTTGTTATATTTGTTTTATAACTTGGTTCATATGGAATACATGTCTTTTATCCAAATTTTTAAGTTAATAGTTAAGGGTACCTTGCATGAAATTAAGCTAAGACATGATTTTTGGGAAGGCCATGACTTGATTTATAAATTATGTTAATTTGAAGTCATTTAGGGTTGTTTTGAAATCTAGAGAAATTAATCAATTAATTTAATTAATTTTCATTAATATGTTCCCATGATTTAAATTAAGTTTTGAAGGGATATATGTAATGATCATGATAGGTTCCCTAACATATATTAAATTGAGCATGTTTGGATGAGAAATAAAATCTAGAGAAATTAGTTGTTTTATTAAATTAATTTCTATCCTTGTTGTATTGATGAATTGAGTACGAATTTCATGTTGATTACATGATTAAGTCTTGATTTTAAACTTGTATAATACTTGTGAGGGTATGTTCCTATCATTGAATAAAAATGATATAAGTTATGACAAGTTGCATAATAATTATTCAACAATTTGCATGCCATTGTAGTTGTGAACTAGAGCATGTATTGTGTTTCCAAAAATTGGTTTGTGCATGGTAAATGGCTTTACATTGTATATATATGTTATGTTAATACATATATGTTGTTGCACAAATTGTTGATTTTAGAAACTTGGTATGTCGTTGTTATGACTAAGGCTAGGGCACGGTTCTAGTACGGGAAATTATCCCTCTATAAGTCTAGTGCGCACATAGGGAGGTTATCCATGGGCTAGTAACCCTAAAGTAACTATGGTGTTGGTCTGATTCGGCATGATGTCCAAGTATCCACTTTGGTTTGATTTCGCATTTAAATTCCAAGTTGATAACTTTATGAGTTTATATCTTATTACATTATGTTGGAAGTTCCAATGTCGGTTGAACATTATGAATTGATTTATATCAAATTGCAAAGTTGTATAAAGTAGGTTCATGCATGCTCATTCCCTATGAGTAAACTTGTTTACTCACCCCAAAGTTACCTGGTGTTTTTTAGGAAAAGAAGCACTATTATGGGATGTACAATACTCTTAGGATTGCTTGACTACTTGGAATATTTTTGTTATGTTAGAATATACACTTGTTAGCATATCATGCTCCGTTTTGGTTTATTTTGAAGAAACATGTATTTAATGTTCAAACTGTGTAATGTGCACTTAAGTGCACCTTTTGACACTGTATGGATGTCTATATAATGAGGCTAAGGGCCAAAGACACTTATATGACATGTATGCTAGTTTAACTTCATAGTTTGTTTATGGAATATATGGGATTTCAAGGGTTGAAGGGTCATATTTTGCGTATGACATGCTATGAGGCCGTATGCCATTATAACGCGTCTACTTATTCATTTTACGTATGCGTGTATGTTTACATTTCACAAAACTCTTAAGTTACAACTTTTGAACTATTTTTGGATGATTTATGAAAATTTAAGCAAAATTCATGCATTGGGGTATCATTTAAAGCTTCATTTTGATTTAGCATGTTTTAGATGCTTGTATGAGGCTAGGGAATGTTTTGAAACTTGTCCAGATCAAATGGGAAGCATGCATAGCTTTAGGATTGAGCCAAGCACCTTCCCCATGGATTGCAGTAGCTTTTTCTGTTGCTACCAGGTCCATCGGTCGGCTGATACCATTCATCAGCTGACTGATGACTGTTCAAGACCAATTCCAATAGGTTTGCAAGTGAAAAATGGCATTTCGGCCAGATGGTATTGTTCATCAGCCGGCTGATGATTAAGTTTCTGCCAGTTGGTACTGTTCATCAGCCTGCTGATCCTCCCTGAAGCTTGGGTTCCTTTCAGTTTCTTGGATAGATTTCTTGGGTCAAATTCAGAGGGTCATATCTCCTTCATTTCTAATCCAAATCAGGTCATTCTTGAGCCTAAATTTAATACCTTGAAGTGAGCTTTCTAATGGTACCAACCACACACAAAAAATCCAACCGTAGTGAGAGTTATACCACTTTTGTGAGATTGGGTCGCAGTATCTCTAAATCAGAGAATGTCGTTTTGTTCTTATTTTCATATCTTTTCCGTTCGGACTCCGAATCAGGTGATTCTAGAGTCTAACTTCATTAGTTTTTTGTTGTCTTTCCAATGGTATGCTTGGTAGCACTTATTTCTCTATGAAATGACCATTTTACCCTTCGTCCATCTCCTGTAAGGTTTCAAAACCCTTGTTTTCTTCTTGCATCCATTGAGTCTCAGGACTACTCCGGAAGCCACCTTTGTGTGTTAGGAATGACGTACATCTCTAAAGGCCTTAGTTGTGTCTTTTGCTTCCACATTTTGGATCTATTAACAGATCATCTTCGGGTAATCACAGGACGCACGGGGTTCGGAAATCCAGGGCCATCACAGGAGTTAAGCAAAAAATCCAAAAAAAGTTTAAAAATTTGCATTAGAGTATCCAAGATCTATCGCAGGCCACATCATCATTCACAGCCACGTCAGCATTAGATAGGGCTGCAACATCATCGTTCATTCAAAGTCACGATCGATTGCAGCCAATTGTGATCGTTCAAAGTGCCACGTCAGCGCCAGCTCAGTGGATAGGATTGCAAGTTGTTAAGATCAGACCACCACATCAGATACGATTAGTCGTAAAAGTTGGCGATTGATCACAGAAATCCACAATTGATCATGAGTAAACTGGCATTGAGCTATTTTATTCCTAGTTTCGCCTGAACTTCACCTACCAAGTGGCTGCGAGATTGAACCAATTAGGAGGCCAATTTCTAACTTGTTTAGCACTCTAGAAGCTTGTATATAAGGTAAAATAAACCATTTATTTGGGTTCAAAAAATTGTTAGCTAATTTTACATAGAGATCATCTTTAGACATAAAATTCTCTCTATAAAATTATGGTTCATGGGAAGAAAAGAGGCAAAAACATCAACATCTTGAGAATTTCTACCAAGAAGACCAAGAGGAAGAAGATGGAGCCATGTTTGGGGATTGCCCTTGAGGGTTCCAAGATCACATCCACCTCCTCCATGAGTGGCTAAACACCATCTTAGGGCTTGGAAGAGCCCTAGGCTTGTTCTTTAAACCCTAGTTTTTTTGTTTTTTTTTAGAGGAATTTATTATTGTAATGAATGTTATAACCTTGTGAATATATAGATCTTGGTTTTTCCAATGATTTTATCTATGGTTGAATTCTTTTAAATAATTCTCTAGATTAGTTGCATGTTTATGTGTGATTAATTGATAATTTAATGAGGGCTATGCATGAATTTCACTAGGTGCATTTGTTGATAAATTTAATGGCATGGATTATGCTTATGCTTAATGGATTACACTATATCCTTAGTTTAATTGCTTTAAATTTATTGTTTTAGATTAATTATAGTTTAATTGCATTTCAGTTGTAGTTAGGTAGGCAATTCATGGTTGAATTTGATAATCTATGGCTTATTGTTGCAAATTATATTATTCTCTAGATTGATGTGTGCTACAATTGCTGGTTAAGTTGATGGTGTATGCTTAAATTTAATGAATTACACAACACATTTTAATCACTCTTATTGTTAAGTGGACAATTCATGCTTCTTTTTGATATCCATACTCTTTATTGCAATTGATAGCATACACTTGGTCTACAACATGATTTTTCCCCTAATTAGACAAAGACTTGTGGTTTAGTGACGAGCTTATCGGTGATTCCTATGCCCTAAGACTCTTTTCCTCTCTCTTTCACACTAACCATTTTGGTTTAATTATGTTGTATGTTTTTAAGTTCAAATTGTAGTTTAAAACAACCCAAACCAACTTTCCTTACAATCTCATTAGCACTAGAGTTTGATTTAATTCCAATACGTGTTCAATCTCTTAGGATGATCCCTTCTCACTTCATACTACATAATATAAATGTCTAGTGGTTTTATAAATTTTAATCAGTGATGCCCACTTAACATTCTTTAAAACAAAGTGTTTTACACATTGTTATACATACACGAGATAGACCATCACGTTTTTGGCGCCGTTGCCAGGGATTAATGGTTTAATTGGAATTTAATTAAGCATTAGTGCTTCTTTAATTGTTTGTCTGAAATTTCATTTTTTTTATTTTATTTTCTCACTTATTACTCTTGTTCAATTAGGTACTTGAAGGCAAGGAAAGTAAGCATTGGATCTTGACATCGTTGCTTGGGACCTTTGTGAACAATTCTTGAAAATCTTGTGGCTTAAATTGTTCATTACTATATGCTTGAGGAATAGCCCTTGTCAAGGCTAATTACATTGTTTAATTTCTTGTCCAAACATGAGCCCTTATCGAGGTTATTTATTTAATTGTTGAAAGCATGGGTCCTTGTCGCGGCCATTAATTTCTTGTATTGATATAACATGGGACTATGGGAACATCGTATGTGGAGGTTGTGAATTATTGTTGATTGAAGTTGTTGGTGTGTTGACTTGTTCTTTGGGAATTCCTTCCACTCTTCATCATTATCACTCCAATGGAAGACCAAAATGTGAATCTTGGTTATCTAGACCCTAATATGATCCAACATCCTCCTCTAGGTCTGAATCCTCTAATGGTCATCAGTAATCATTACACTCCTAATGTGTATAATGCGCTGACATGTATCCAATTGCCAAATTTCAGGGCCAATCATTATGAGGTTAAACCTTCTACCATTCAAATGTGTCCTATTTTTCTTGGGTTAAACAATGAAGAACCCTAAAAACATTTGGATGAGCTTCTAGAGATGTGTTCCACCGTGAAAATCACGGATGTCCTTGAAGAAGTTTTAAAATTGAAATTCTTTCCTTTCACTTTCCGGAACAAAGCTAAATATTGGTTTAACAACTTCGGGGCGAAAACTCTAACATCATCGAATCAATTACAGCAAGAATTTCTAAAAAAGTATTACCCCGCAAGTCAAACTAATTCAATTAGAACTTTAATTTGTGATTTTGCCCAAGGAGATGGAGAGCCCTTACATGAAGCATGGGAGCGTTTGAACAACTTGCTAAGGAAGTGCCAACATTATGGCCTTCCGATTTAATACTTCTACGAGAGCTTATCCGATACCCACAAGGGTATGGTGGATGCTTTATATGGAGGTTCATATTTGGAAAGTGGTCACGGCCGTCACTATGTGCCAAAATTGATGTGAAAGTGAATGTGGTTCAAGAAAGCCTTTTTGGCCAAGTTTAAATTTATAGAAACCACTACCACTACTATTACTGACATAGCAAGAGTGAGTAGGGAACATCCTAAGGGATTTACAAGATTTAAGGAATCAAAATTTGATTAGTAGGTTGAATGATCAAAGAGAGTGGTTTGTTGGTTGAATTATGCTATGATTATGTGACGACCCTGGATTTTTCAACCCAGTGTGTCCTGTGATGACCCAAAATGGATCCAAAATGTGGAAGCAAAAGATAGAACAATGGTCTTTAGAGATACAACACTCCTTTAAGACACCAATGTGACCCTCGACGAGGTCACGAAACCCAAAGGAAGAAAATGCGGAAGCAACGTTTTAAAAACGGAAAAGAATGAACCTAGGGGCAAAATGGTCATTTCACACTGAAATGGGTGCCACTGTGCACACCATTGGAAATACAATGAAAAATTAATAAAGATAGACTCAAGAATCACTTGATTCGTGGTCTGGACGGCAAAGATATCAAGTTCTGAAGTCGAAGGAAGGGATACCCTATCCCGGTTCGAACCAAAAACAGACACTACCTTACTAAAACTTGAATAAATTGAGCCACAAGAAGAATCTGAAGCTCTAATTAGTACCATTAGAAAGATTATTTCGACGTGATCAATTTAGACTCAAGAATGGACCAATTCGGAGTTAAAACGAAGAAGTTATGATAATTTAAAGTTGGAGGTGTAATGCTGAACCAAGACACACACCCCCGTGAACAGTACTTCGAGCGCTTGAAATTTGCCCTAAGAAATCAGCCCAAAGTTCGAGCGCTCAAAATTTGCCCTAAGAAATCTGCCCAAAGTTCGAGCGCTCGAACTCCCTATTTAGAGCGCTCGAACTCCTATAGGCTACGCCTGAAATGCTGACTTGAAATGCAATTTTGAGGACTTTCTGGGCTTTTTTGAGAAAAACACAAAGAAGAAACTACACTCAAAATCATGTTTTCTAGCCAACCATACCAAAAGAAAACTTTGTTTTTAATGTGAAAACCCCAAAATGCCCTTATGCTCAGTTTAGGCTCAAAACGGCAAAAAATGTAAGTTTGCACCAAACATACTTTTGACTCCAAATACACTTCTAGGCTGAAACAAATATGCACACAAATGTAATAAGAGATTTTGAGTGCACGGGAATGGTCCGCAGCTCCCGAAAACGACCGATGCAAACCTAGTGAGACAACAACTTGACATTTTTCAATATTTTCATAATATACCATAAAGTCAAAACTACATAGAATACAAATACATGTCATTGGCCTCCGGCCTCATCTTATACATGTCAAATACATTGTAAGGAGTGCACTCATGTACTCATTCCATGTTTAAATTCAAATATACATATTTTGACATATAAGGCTACAAGTAGCTTTTCAAGCCAACCTTTACAAGAAATGGAAATCTTCAAGTCCACCAATCATCCAAGCATGACGAGAATCGCAACCTTGATTCTTGTACCTGAAATATGCCCCAGTATCGTAGGGGTGAGTAACATAAAGCTACTCGTAGGAAATGAGCATGCATCAATCACCTCATTCATGCAATTTTTGTGGTTCATTCCACCTAACGTCTATGTCAAAGGTGAGACCCAAGGAGCATCCTAGCTACCTAGGATCATTTCTAGCATCAATCACCTCATTCATGCAATTTTAGCAACATAGGGTCATGCTTACACAAAGCAACAACATAGGAGCATGCTTACACAAAGCAACAACATATAGATTCTCAAGGTAATCAACTTGAAGTCTAAAATGCAACATCAACTAAATATAACAATTTAGCATAATTAGAATATCTAATACCACACATCAAGACATAGGTTCTCTAGGTTATCAACTAGAAATCTAAAAGTGTGAAATCAACTAAATATATCAATTTAGTATGGATGTACTTAACAACATCAAAATGATTCATTAAAATCATATTCATAGATGTACTTAACAACATCAAAATTGCCAATAACTAAAACCACAAGTTACAATATAAACATGATTGTTAACTTGGAATTCAATGCGAAAACAAATAATGGAAGACTTGGACATCTACGCTCGGAATTCTGCCGAGACCTCAATGGTTATTCCGGGCACTAACCCGCAGGAAAGACCACCCTAAGTGCGCACTATCTCAGACTTAGAGGACTCACGTCCCAGTACTAGAGCCCAACCCTAGCCATCTCAACTCAACAATGTTCCAAGATTCCAAAATTAAACCAAATAAGTTCACAACTTATACATAACTTATATAATGCATGAAAACACCTTCCATGCACAAGTAGGTTGAAACCACACAATCCATGCCTTAGAGTTTCAATTCTAAAATGACATACATAATGCCAATTACAAAGTGTACAATTCACTACACATGGCATCAATATATTCTATAAAGAAAAAATGTTCTCATGAATATAAATATAACAACAAAGTTGTCCTATGCTCAAAACACAACCAAGTGAATACATAACAAGTTCAAGTCCATGATTTGAATATAGAAACAACCTCTAAAATACCAATAGTCCCATGGAGCCATTAGATAGAATTTAATTAAACAAGGTGATTAAATTCTCTAGATTTCAAATAACCTCAAATTAATATATGTTAAGCAACATATCATGGTCTTTACATATATCAAATCAAAAGTGCAAGATAAGCAAGATATCATCAAATAGAATTTAATTAATTTAAATCAATTAAATCTCTATATTTCAAAAGTTGTCCAAATGATCTCAAATTAATATATATCAAGCACTAAGTCATGGTCATACCATATATCAAGTCTAAGATGGATTACACACAAAACACAATTTACTAGAATTTAAACCAAATTAAATCCATTTAATCTCTAGATTTGAAAACTCATCTAAATCAACCCAATTTAATATATATCAAAGATCAACTCATGGCCATGCCATTTACCAAGTCTAAAATGAGTTATAAGCAAACTACCATTAATCATAATTTCTTAAATTAATACACTACATGCATACAAGTTGTATAAGCATCAAAAACATGCAAGACAACAAACATATAACCCTATAACATTCCCTACCTCACTAGAGAAGTGTCTCTCTAGAATCCAAGGCAAAATCGACACAAAATGGCAAACCCTTCTAGGGTTATGAAGAGGAAGATGAGGGGAACAAAATGTATTCCCAAGTTCAAGCTTGGAAATCAATGGAAGGCTCTCAAATATCAAGGTCAAAGCTTAAGGCTTTAGGCTCCATCCATGGAGGCTAGGGTTTTCTTTACAAAAGAGGGAGGAAATGAAAAATGATGAAGATGAAATGTGAATGGAGGGATAGAGATCCTCCACTCACCATGTGCTCTTACACTACCTCTCACACACACACTAATGCAAGATCAAATTGTGAGCCTACACTTGTCACAAATCCAAGGCTCCATCCTAGGTTAAATCTCAAGCCTACACTTGTCAACCATCCAAGCCAACAAGTGCACCAATCCTAGGCCAACAAGTGGTTAAATCTCCACCCTCCACATGTCCCCATCCAAGGCCTCAATGTGTTTCCACACACATGCCAACAAATGGACCAATGAGAATGTGACACTTGTCACACTTTCTAAAAATTGCAAAAAAATCCTTTTTGAAAATATCTTCCAAATTAAATTGCAAAATGGTCCCTAAGACGAAAAATAATTACTTTACAGTAATTACACAAAAACCCCTAAAGTTTAGAAAATTACAAAATGGTCATGCATCTATACCCTTTACAAGAAAAGTAAGCACTTAGCATGCTTTTCTACAAAAGTGAAACTACACGTAGTATGGAATTTAAATATCGTGGATGCATGCAAAATCGGAATCAAATCCGAACACGAAAAGTGAGGTTATGCCAACAAAGTGACAACCGAGAAAAAGACGAAAGTGAATAGTGTCACAAAAGTGAAAATATAAAAATGACTCGGTTCTCAAAGAAAGTCGTCAATCCAAGGAAAAGAGTCTCGGAAACCATCCCTGAGCACTCAAGATGACACTAAGTGACGAGAAACTGAACTCAGAAAGGAAAAGATCAACGGAAAAAAAAATATCCGTGAAAATCTGAGAAAAGGAAAGGAAGGAAAATGACCGGGTCATTACAACCTTCCCACCTAAAAAGGATTTCGTCCCCGAAATCCAGCCCCGACCAACAAAAGGCGAAACAAGGAACACCACAGAGTACATCTCCGAGTATCCCACACAACACGCCACACCAGCGACCTCAAAGTTGAAAGGAACCCCACAACCCAGTGTCATTTGCACCCACGTGCTCATGACAAGACAACCTCTCAAAAGGAAAATGACCATGCGGCCATACAACAAGTCAGAACTCACACACAGAACCCAAGGTCAGATAAGGGAATGGAAGACAACAACTGAAAGCATCCCTCCTGACAACCATCAAACGGATCCAAAACACATCCACCAAAAAGGACTCCAAAATAATCATATATCAAATCAAGGTACTGAACAAAGGCGACATGGCAGTACAAATAGCGACCAGAACCCGCCCACGACGTACTCAAATGTGTGGTAACAATGATAGTACCTAGTGCCCACCCACACTTACTCGTCAGTAAGGTAGCATCGACGGCAACTAGTACTCGCCCACAGCACACAACTTTGTACGGTAGCATGATAGTATAAGGCACTAGTTCATAACCTGCCCCCCACTAGGTCTACCCAAGAAACCTCTCGATACAAATAACATCAATGTCAAAAAAAAAATGATCATTATCAAAAGCACTACGAAGACTAACATTTTGTGAGAGTTAAGATATGGTCCAAAGATGTCCGGCCGGACCATCCTGGCCAATCCCAAAACTCTAACAACAATGTGATAG